ATGAAGTGCTCTGATTTTTGGAATTTTCAGCTTTTCTGCTCTGGTTTCTCCCCATCTTTGTGGCTTTTATCTACCTTTAGTCTTTGATGTTGGTAATCTACAGATGGCGTTTTGGTGTGGATGTCCTTTTTGTTGATGTTGAAGCTATTCCTTTCTGTTTGTTAGTTTTCCTTCTAACAGTCACATCCCTCAGCTGCAGGTCTGTTGAAGTTTGCTGGAGGTCCACTCCAGACCCTGTTTGCCTGGGAATCACCAGCAGAGGATGTAGAACAGCAAATATTGCTGCCTGATCCTTCCTCTGGAAGCTTTGTCCCAAAGGGGCACCTACCTGTTTGAGGTGTCTTTCGGCCCCTACTGGGAGATGTTTCCCAGTCAGGCTACACTTTGAGGAGGCAGTCTGTCCGTTCTCAGAGCTCAAACACCGTGCTGGGAGAAGCACTGCTCTCTTCAGAGCTGTCAGACACGGACGTTTTAAGTCTGCAGAAGTTTCTGCTGCCTTTTGTTCAGCTATGCCCTGCCCACAGAGGAGGAGTCTATAGAGGCAGTAGGCCTTGCAGAACTGCAGTGGGCTCCTCCCAGTTCGAGCTTTCCGGCTGCTCTGTTTACCTACTCAACCTTCAGTAATGGCAGACGCCCCTCCCCCTGCCAGGCTGCTGCCTCACAGATTGATCTCAGACTGCTGTGCTAGCACTGAGTAAGGCTCCGTCGGCATGGGACCCACTGAGCCAGGCATGGGAGAGAATCTCCTGGTCTGCTGGTTGCTAAGAATGTGGGAAAAGCCCAGTATTTGGGCAGAAGTGTCCCGTTTTTCCAGGTACAGTCTGTCATGGTGTCCTTTGCTTAGGAAAGGGAAATCCCCTGACCCTTTGCGCTTCCTGAGTGAGGTGACGTCTTGCCTTGCTTCGGCTCACCCTCCATGGAGTGCGCCCAGTGTCCAACCAGTTCCAATGAGATAAATCAGGTACCTCAGATGGAAATGCAGAAATCACCTGTCCTCTGCATCAATCACGCTGGGAGCTGCAGACCAGAGCTGTTCCTATTCCCACATTTTCATGTTAAAGCAAAAATACACACAATGGTCTCAACAGATGCAGAAAAGTCATTCATAAAATTTAATATTTCTTCATGATAAAAATTTGAGCAAGGTAAGGGCCAGGCATAGTGGCTCACACCTGTAATCCCAGCACTTTGGGAGGCCTAGGCAGGCAGATCACCTGAGTTCAGGAGTTCAAGACCAGCCTGGCCAACATAGTGAAACTCCATCTCTATTAAAAATACAAAAATTAGCTGGGCAGAGTGGCATGCACCTGTAGTCTCAACTGTCCGGGAGACTGAGGCAGGAGAATTGCTTGAACCCAGGAGGTAGAGGTTGCCATGAGCCAGGATTGCACCTCTGCACTCCAGCCTGGGAGACACAGTGAGACTCCATCTCAAACAAAAATAATAAAAATAAAATAAAATAAAAAAACTCTGAACAAGGTAGAGAGAGAGAATTTTGACAAGATATCTATCAAAAACAAAAAGCTAACTTCACATTTAACAGTAAAACTTCAGAAGCACTCCAATGGAAGTCAGGACCAATATAAGGATGCTAGCTTATCAGTAAATTACATAACTGGCTACACAGAACTAAAGAGAATTTCAACCAAACCATCAGAACTAATTAAGAGTTTGAGATTATGCTGTATATAATATTTACATTAAAAAAATAGCATTCTGCCATACCAGTTAATAACCAACTGGAAAATGTAAAAAGAAAAAAGAAAGCCCATTTGCAACTACTACAGCAAAAAAAATCTACGAATAAAAAATAAAATATGGGAAAAAACTTCACGAAGATTTTTTTTTTTTTTTTTTTTTTTTTTTTTTTTTTTTTTTGATTTTTTTTTTTTTTTTTTTTTTTTTTTTTTTTTTTTTGAGGCAGAGTCTCGTCACACCCAGGCTGGAGTGCAGTGGCGCGATCTCGGCTCACTGCAAGCTCCGCTCCCAGGTTGCCGCTGTATTCCCTCTGCCTCAGCCTCCTGAGTAGCTGGGACGCTGGCGCCGCCACCGCGCCCGGCTAATTTTTGTATTTTTAGTAGAGACGGTTAACCGCGTGTCCCGATCTCCTGCCCTTGTGACTGGCCCGCCTGCCTTCCCAAAGTGATTACAGGCATGAGCCATCATGCCTGCCAAGTTTTTTTTTTTTTTGAGATGGAGTCTCCCTCTGTTGCCCAGGCTGCAGTACAGTGGCATGATCTCGGCTCACTGCAAGCTCTGCCTTGTGGGTTCACGTCATTTTCCTGCCTCAGCCTCCTGAGTAGCTGGGACTACAGGTGCCTGCGACCACACCCGACTAATTTTTTTTTTTGTATTTTTCGTAGAGACGGGGTTTCACCATGTTAGCCAGGATGGTCTCGATCTCCTGACCTCGTGATCTGCTCGCCTCGGCCTCCCAAAGTGGATAATTATAAGATATTTAAGGCAAAAAGATTATCAAAATTCTTACCAATTGTAGCTTATACAACATTCATGGAATAAAAACTTACTTGATCCATAAATTGAGCTCAGTTCCCATAAAAATCTCAGTAAGTCTTTTTATAAAGGACTAAGTGTAACAAGGGCAATTACAAAGAACAGCAATGTGTGGAAACTCTTGACATACTACATATCAAGACTTATAAAATTCTGTATTAAGATAGTGTGGTGCTAGTAGAAAGTCAGAAAGTGCCCAAAACAGAACTACATATTTAGGAAAACTTGGTATGATATAGATGGCATTATAAGCTAAGAATAGACTACTCAATAAGTGGTGTTGAGACAATTAGTTACCTATATGGAAAAAAAATTAGATTCCCTACTTCACATTGATTTTTATACAAAGTTAGTTCCATGTGGATTAAATATATAAATGGGAAAACCAGAAGATTTAAAAGAAAACATACAGAAGAGCCGTCCTGATCTAGGTAGACAGGATTTCTCGACCAAGACAAAAAGCACAAACAATAAAATATGACAGTTTTGGCAATATTAAAATAAAAAACATCTGTACAAAAAATTGAACATAAATATAAAGAAGAGAAACCACACAGTGATATTAGCAAAATGTAACAAAAAAGGATTAGTATTAACAATACTCTTACAAATTGATAAGCAAAGATAAAGCCAATAGAAAATTGGGCAACAGAAAAAACAAAAACAGATTTAAAAAATAATAAACATTAACATGTAACTATATATAATATATATATTACTGTTACATTGTTAAGTTTTAGATACAAAATGCATATAAATAGCACAAACCTAAGTACTAACGTTAAAAAACATTACTGGGTATGCGAAACACCAAATAAGGACAATAGTCACTACTACAAAGAAGAATGGGAGAGTTTAACTTTTATTTTTAAAAATGCGACATAAATCTGGCAAATGTTAACATTTTTTAAAGTTGGGTAGTGAATAAACAGGTATTCTTACTCTCTACTAGTCTCTGTGTTTAAAATATTTCATGATAAAGTGGGCAAATGGTTAATTTTACATAAAAAGAACTTTAACAGATGCAAAAAATAAAACCTCTTCTCATTCGACAAGCAGTCTAAATGGGGAAAAAAGAACCGAATCATAAAAAAGGTAGCAGATAATGTCACCGTGGCTTACCAGCCTAATTAAAGCTTATTACTTGTTATGTATATATCCTTATTAAACTAAGTAGTTACCGTGTTAAAGCATTTTAGTGTCTAAATAAAAGATTTCAGAACACAGCAGAAATACATTCCAATATGTTGGGGTTTTTACGCTTAGGAAAATCTACAATAGTAGTTGATTTGACATTTGAATCACACCTATCTGAATTAAGATGTCCAGTACTACCAAACAAAAGCCACACGATGCCACGAAACACTCCCAACTCTGCATGTTTTAGCCTTTTCAAAGTCCTAGAAACCAACTGATACTGATTAAAAACCAAACAAAAAACTACAGCCCTCAGAAAAATACATCATTTTGCACACAAAGGCCATCCATGGGCCTCAGATCTAGAACTCCTGCTTTAATGTTGCTTCTCCAATCTCAAACTGAAACATTGGCTGAGTTACGTTGGAAAAGAAGGCAAAGTGTTCGGGGCCTGAGTTCTAGTAGCGTAAAACCTTTCGGGCTTTCGGCAACTTCTCGAGAGGTTAACACCTTTAACGAGACTTTGCTCCCTACCGATGCCGTGGCTGGACAAATGCCTCGGTCAACTGCTACAGACCCAAAGTCTATGCTCTAAAGATAGTGAAGCCGTTCTGTCAAAGTGAAAACAGAAAGGGTAGGTAGGAAGCTGCCCCGCTTTCTTTCAAGCACAGAGACCCACAGAGACGCCCAGGAGTTCCCGAAAAAAACGTTGGTGCTTAAGAGTTGCCGGGTCAGAAACAGCTGTGAGACACTGAAAAATCCCCACTGGTAAGCGCCCCAGTTCCACTTCGACCCCTACCCGCAAGGTTGGGGACTGGTTAAAAGGGGGGAGGGAATACCTCCCCCAACAACCGCTTCAACCGCCTTCGGCCAAGTCCCCGCTCGGGCCCACCAACCTCACAGCCTGAAGAATCCCACACTCACTGGAAAGTGGGGCCGGGTCCTGGTCCCGGTCCGGCTCCCAGAATTCGGCGGGTCTCCCAGGGTTTGGGGGGAGGTGGCGGCTGGGACGCCATCTCCTCCGCCTCCGCTCGGCTCCCGCTCCTACCCCGGACTGTCCAGGCCAGCGTAGACCAGCACCTAGAGCGCAAGGCACAACGGGCAGAACACCGAGCCGTCCACCCCTCCCACCCTGGCAGTCAGAACAAGGCTTGAGTTACTTCGCCAGCTGAATCCATACAGCGAGAGGATGCTACTAATTTGTGGGAAGAAACACGTTCTTTGTATTTGCCCCAGAAAAAGCTCCTGTTCTAAATCTCAGGGTAAAGGCTCATCGATATTTCTGGCAGCGGCTACGACTCCCTAGACGTCAGAGTCCGACAGAGGCTTTTCTGGGAGTGGACCAGTAAGGCTGGGAGTAAAGCCCCACGGACTCCTACAGTCGCGGGGGCGGTGGGGTGAGGTGGCAAAGTAGGCGAGTTGACGGATTTCCCTACAAACAAGAAGGGAGAAGCTCACTTGGTCCTAGCGAGAACGGGCTGGTACTTTCGTTTAAAGCCCACGTTTCCTCGGGGAACAGAATTGCTAGACGCAATAGGTGCGTTGTCTTTAGTCTTCCCCGTTCCCTTCGAGGGCCGGAAGGGGTTAAATCTCAGGCTCCGGCGTCTGGGGAGAAGGTGAGGCGGGTAGGTATGAGGTGAAGCAGTGCAGACTGGGTGCAGAAGAGGTGTGGCGAGAGAGAGAGGTCATTTCTTTCCTGCTGGAGCGGCTTTGTTAGCAAAGGAGGGGTGAGTGGGAAATCTGTTGCACCTGACCGAAGGGGGAAGGGCTTGCTTGGCCAAAACTGAGGCTTGAGGTTAGATCTCGGGATGAACTTTTTTCAAGAGTCCACAGTAGATTCCATAGCTGAATGTTTCAGAAGCCCAGTGAAGTGTGATCACCTTTTTCCCCGTAAATCCACACCCCCAGCCCCACGCCGCGGTACGAATGACACCCTTCGGTAGGGAAAGGAGTTTAAAAGATCTTAGGATATGAGACTCAGGCAGTTTTTTCTCACACCCTGCTCCTTTCCTCGTTTTCGATGACTAGTTTTTGTAATCGTCCAGGAGGTGAAAATAAAGTCCTTCCTCTCCTCCAGTAAGCCAGAGACTGGGCTAGTTATCCTTGGTCTGGGGAGGAGGGATTCAGTCCTCCTAGGGAGCCTGACACGTGAAAGGCGGCTGTGTAGCAACTTGTTAGCGTTGTTTCTATAAAACAAACACGTAAACGAAAAGCAAACATCTTGAGGGTAACCAACACTGGAAAACTTACATTGTGGGATGCCTTTTTCAGGGCTTGCTTTCAAACATAATCTAATATGGACAACCGATTTCTGATATCTTATGAAATCCTGACATTTCATTGCCTCACGATGAAACAATCAAATTTAAGGCGTAACGTGTTTTCTCCTTTTAATGTTAACATTCTTGAGAAGTTGATAGATTGTTGGTAGGTGAAAATGATGTTGAGAGGTTTGTAAATTCATAGCTCGTTTATTAACACACATTCAAAAGAGGTCTTTTTGTTTTTGGGGGGTCTATTTTTAGACCTCTTCAAATTACTCAGGACTGGAAGTTTTGTAATTCTCATCAATCAGGTTTGGGAACTTCTCAGAGCCAGGAGTTTGTAATGTGTCGTTTATTCGCTTTGCATGATACCTTTGTTCTTGTGAATTTATTGGAGAAATAAACATTGTCTTATAGCCATGGAAAATAAAATAAATTTTAATATAGCTATTTAAGTCTCTAGGGAAATCTTCCTTAAGTGTCCTTTTAAAGTGCTTATTGATTTGTTTATTGGAAGAGGGTGTATTTGTGTCTCTTTTTGAGTTAAATGTTATTTCTGAATTAAGTAAAATCCTTAAGCTAAACTAATGGAGGAAAAATAGAATAATCGGTGAAACAGAAACAGTTTCTCTGTGTATGTAGTCAGAGATGCACTGTAAATGCTTATATTCAGCCCCTCACAGCATCCAATCTTTTCTCTGCATTAAACTAGATTAAATGGACTGGGAAAAGGGATACAGATCACTAGTAAATAATAATGACTTGACCTTGACCACACAGATTTTATTTATTTATTTATATATTTATTTATGTATTTTGAGATGGAGTCTTGGTCTTTTGCCCAGGCTGGAGTACAGTGGTGCGATCTTGGCTCACTGCAACCTCTGCCTCCTGGGTTCAGGCGATTCTCCTGCCTCAGCCTCCGGAGTAGCTGGGACTACAAGCACGTGCCACCATGCCTGGCTAATTTTTTGTATTTTTAGTAGAGATGGCATTTCATCGTGTTAACCAGGATGGTCTTGCTCTCCGGACCTCATGATCCGCCTGCCATGGCCTCCCAAAGTGCTGGGCTTACTGCAACCTCCACCTACTGGGTTCAAGCCATTCTCCTGCCTCAACCTCCCGAGTAGCAGGGATTAAAGGCACGTACCACCACACCTGGCTAATTTTTGTATTTTAATACAGATGGAGTTTCACCATGTTGGCCAGGCTGGTCTTGAACTCCAAACCTCAAGTGATATGCCTGCCTTGGCCTCCCAAAGTGCTAGGATTACAGGCGTGAGCCACTGGGCCTGGCCAGATCTTCATTGTTTAGAGGCTGTTTTCCACATATTCTGTCTTCTTTCTTGAAAATACCCTGGAGCCCAAATTCACTTAGACAACCCTAAATACGCGTTTCTCAATTCTGGTGTCTCAAAGTTGTCACCTAGTCAGCTTGTATGGTGTGTCCATACAAGCCTGATTTTTTTCTCCCTGCCGACTCACATATTCACCTGAATTAGAATTCAGCCAGATGCAATCTGTTTTTAGTCGTCCTGGCTGCTGAACTGATTTTTATGGTGAAGAGTTCTATGTAACTATATACCTGTCTTCCTCATTATTTTGTGCAAGAATCTTGGTAAGTGTCCCCAAACATTTAGCAACTTGCAAGTAAGTAGTAAGTTTTAGAGGTGTGGAAAACACAAACTAGAAGAATCATATCTTTATACTAAGCTGTTGGGAAGAGCTTCACCCTTCCACAAATTTTAAGCAAGTTCGTTTGAATTATGAAACTGCACAAATTAAAAGATGCCACTGTCTATGACCACAGTTATAGCATGCCACAAGATTGCCATGCAATGATTATTTTCTAAAATATTGGTAGTTGATCATTTTAAGGTAATATGGACTGTTTCACTAATTAGAAGATCTAGTTTTGCTGAACAAATTAGGTTGTTTGAATTTTTAGTACCCCTTCTTCCTGGTAACAGGAGACAAATTTGCCCTCATTCCCTATATAGTATTTTTTTGTGAGCTTATTTAAATTGCAAAAATTGGCAACTTAAGCAAACCGTTGCTCTCAAATACCATGTACTTAATTTGTTTTTGTTGGAGGTTTTTTGTTGTTGTTGTTTGTTTGTTTTTTTGAGATGGAGTTTCACTGTCATTGCCCAGGCTAGAGTGAAGTGGCGCAATCTTGGCTCGTTGCAACTTCCGCCTCCCAGGGTTCAAGCGATTCTCTTGTCTCAGCCTCCTGAGTAGCTGGGAGTACAGGCACAACGCCAACACACCTGGCTAATAGTTTTTGTATTTTTAGTAGAGATGGGGCTTCACCATGTTGGCCAGGCTGGTCTCAAACTCCTGACCTCAGAAGATCCACCCACCTCGGCCTCCCAAAGTGCTGGGATTACAGGCATGAGCTACTGCACCTGACCAAATTTGAGTAATATTTTTAGATTTTATGACTGGCTTTGGGGAAAGGGAGTTCTGGTTTCTATGACTCACCTTGAGGAAGAGGGACTGTAGTTTTTCTATGACTAGTCTGGGGAAGAATGAGACTGAGAGACAGGAGGGCAGAAGGTCAGAGAAAAAGTGTTGCTTCTGAGGCTGCTGCTGAGACCTTCATTTTGGGGTATGGCTTTCTAAGCCCCACCACCAGCAAACTCATTTTTAATTTCTTACAGGAAAAGTTTAATGAATTAACTTTGTACAATACTGAATGGTACAAAACAAAGAGCAAAATTTCACCCTGTACCTCTGTTTTCATTACCCTCTTCAGAAGCAACCATTCTTGATTATTTTTATTTCTTTTGATCAACTTAGTTATATTGATATATTTTATCATAATCCAGAATGCTAAACTAAATTTCTTAACAATTAGAAACTTTTACTGGATCCATTTTATAAACTTCCTTCAAGTTTGTGTTTTATAATATGTGTATAATGAAAGGGGCTTGGTTAGAGAGTACACAATAGTGCTTTTCAAATGAAAGCTAGTTTTTATCCCTAAACATGATGACTTGTCTGTGACAGTAAAACGCAGAAGCTGATCATTAGTTTTACTTTTTTTCTTTCTAGTTATAATTATTCAGTATGTTCCCACTGACTGAGGAAAACAAGCATGTGGCCCAGTTGTTGCTCAGTACTGGTACTTGTCCAAGATGTATCTTCAGATTCTGTGGTGTGGATTTTCATGCACCTTACAAACTTCCATACAAGGTATTTTCTTCTTTTTTTTTCAAGTTAAGAGAAGGTTCTCTATATTTTACAATGAATGCCTGTACTTTTGAGGGCAGGTATATATTCATAACTCTTTTTTAAATTAAAAATCTATAATAAAATGAGTGATATTCTTAATTTTAGAATAGTCTCAGAAATGTAAGTTCCTTCTTAAGTGATTATATCTAGGTATCTAACATTTAGTGTAATGGGATCTTTGTGGAGGAACTCCCTGGTACATTTAACGTTTATATAGATGTTTCCTAAAGGATATCTAAACAGAATATCACAAAATATTGCTTCCTCCCAGGAGGGGCTAATATTCCTTACATGTCCTACTAAGTGGAAGCATTGTGGGTATGGTTGCCTTTTTTTGTTTTTTCCCATTTTCTATATTACTAGTGGTATTTATAAATAGGTATTTGGAATCCTTTAGAAATAAATACTTATCATAATCGTTACTGTTATTAATGACAAAAGTAATATACAGAGATCTTTGACATTTATGGTAATATACAGAGAGCTTTGACGTTTCATATAATACTTTTTGCATAAGATGTGTAACATTTATGAAATGTTTGATTCTAAAAGTGATATTCTTTTTAGAGGCAGATAGTAATAATACATATGTAAATATATACTTTATAAACAGTATGTATACAACATATACACACACAGTTTCTTGTAATTTAAAAAATTGTCCAGGAGTTAGTAGTATCAGTTATTTTTAAAATGTTATTAGTTGTTTCTATTAGTTTGGCAATAATAATACACAATATTCAATTTTCATTACTATATGTCAAGCTCTCATATAATTCTCATAAACTGATTAGGTAAGTACGTACTATGATTGTCTCTATTTTCAGATGAAGAAACTGAGATACAGAGAGGTTAAGCAACCTGCCCAAAGTTACACAGCTATTAAGTGAGCAAGCTAGGATTTGAGCAGTCTGACTGAATTCAAAACCTAGGATTTGGAGCTAGAAGACATGGATTTGAATCCCAGTTCCACCACTTTGCAGCTTCAGTTTACTGCTCTGTAAATGGGAATGATGATAATACCCACCTCACAGGACTTTAAGGGACGATACCTAATAAAGTATGTGGAAACACTTTGAAAACCAGAAATTGGCTGGGCGCGGTGGCTCACGCCTGTAATCCCAGCACTGTGGGAGGTCAAGGTGGGTAGATCATGAGGTCAGGGGTTCAAGACCAGCCTGGCCAAGAAGGTGAAAGCCTGTCTCTACTAAAAATACAAAAGTTAGCTGGGCGCTGTGGCAGATGCCTGTAATCCCAGCTACTTGGGAGGCTGAGGCAGGAGAAACGCTTGAACTTGGGGGTCGGGGGTGCGGAGGTTGCAGTGAGCCGAGATTGTGCCACTGCACTCTAGCCTGGGTGACAGTGTGAGACTCCGTCTGAAAATTAAGAAAACAAAAACAAAAAACAAACCAGAAATGGTACTTGTGCTATGATGATTTAAATATGTGTATATTCATTTATACACAATATGACTGTAAAGTAATAAGTCTGGTTTTGTGTAACCCTGCTTACACATTTTTTTCAGATTATTATTCTATTATATGTTATTACATTTTAAATTTATATTAAACTATTATTCTATTATGTTATTAGATTGTAAATTTATATTAAGAGACTGTTACCAACTTTTGTTTGTTTCATTTTATGTAAAGAAATATACAAGAATATTTGGACAGGTTTTTGGAAATGTTCTTAAATTTTGATCTGTTCTATTCATGTAGCTATGTATGTATATGCACATCTGTATATGCACTATGTTTTACCTATATTATAGATTTTAGGTAACAACAAACATACTTGTGTGAGTCCAAATGTACCTGTATATGTATGTACGTATATTTATCTGTTAAATCAGCAGAGCTAATTTCTCAATAAAGTGGATTTAAATTTGTTTGAGTGGAAGATTTTTTCCCTTTAGAGTCAGTAAATTGTCATCTGAATGAATTTGAAAAAGATACTTTTTCATCAATGGCATAAAAAACATGTCTAAACAAAACAGAGGAAGATACTCTGAGTATTTAGATGAGAGGGATATCTGAATGAGAGAAATATGAGAATGGTTTCAAAGAAATGCAAGTTCTAATACAAGACAGAAATTAGGCAAACTAGAATATAGTAGAGCATGTCTTTCAATTAATATATGGAAATGGTTTATAATCATATGCTAACTTTCAGCATTGTCAGCATTTGTGTACTTAGTAAATTTCTCCAAATTATTTTTACTTATTAGACTACCTCTAATGATCAGATTTCATATTAAATAAATATACTTGTGAGCTTTTAGTAATTGTGAGATTATTAAATAACCTAGCAAGGATGGAAATTCAGTTTGTATTTTTATATGTTAATCATTAGAACTGAAGTTTGTTTTTACTGAAATTAGCAAGTGAATGACTCTCACAACAGAATTACAAATTAACAAATTTGTAATGGAGCCTTTCTCCCTCAGATTTATGACTTTTGCTTCACTGATATATGGAACTCTTTTGAAAAAGTATTCCCACATATATAATTGAGATAGGTAATTCTCTTTTAAATTCCATAAAAGCCAGTGCTGGCTAATAAAATAACTGGATTGCTTCAGAATTGATATGTCAACATTGTAAAATCTGTGATATGTCCTAATTTTCACTCGTATTTTCTTGTTTCATCTTACCTAGAAAGCCTTAAGGACATCGTCAGTGGGTCATTACTTTTTCTTTCATTAACTTTCCAGGAGTTGCTCAATGAACTACAGAAATTTCTGGAAACTGAAAAAGATGAATTAATTTTGGAAGTTATGAACCCACCTCCCAAGAAAATTCGACTGCAAGAACTGGAAGATAGTATTGATAATCTAAGTCAAAATGGAGAGGGAAGGATCTCTGTTAGTCAAGATGGAAGCATTGCTTCCAAGAACTCAAATTTAAATGTATGTAATGTATGCCTAGGAATTCTTCAAGAATTCTGTGAGAAAGATTTCATTAAAAAGGTAAATAACCTGTTTTTCATTATAGGTGCAATTATGTAGAGATTTTCAGTCTTAAGACCAAGAATTCTTTTTTCTTTCCTTTTTTGGAGATAGGACAATTCTTTTTTCTTTTCTTTTTTGGGTTTTATTCTGTTGCCTAGGCTGAAGTGCAGTGGTACAATCACAGCTCACTGCAGCCTCTAACTCCTGGGACTCAAGCAATCCTCCTACATCAGCCTTCTGAGTAGCTAGGACTATAGGCACATACCACCATGCCCACCTAATTTTTTTTTCTTTTTTTTTGAGATGGAGTTTTGCTCTTGTTGTCCAGGCAATAGTGCAATGACGCGATCTTGGCTCATCGCAACCTCCACTTCCCAGGTTCAAGTGATTGTCCTGCCTCAGCCTCCCGAGTAGCTGGGATTACAGGCATGCGCGACCATGCCTGGCTAATTTTGTGTTTTTAGTAGAGACAAGGTTTCTCCATGTTGGTCAGGCTGGTCTCAAACTCCCGACCTCAGATGATCTGCCTGCCTTGGCCTCCCAAAGTGCTGGGATTACAGACATGAGCCACTGTGCCTGGCCCTAATTTTTAAATCTTTTTGTAGAGGTAGGGTCTCCCTATGTTACTGTGCTGGTCTTGAACAACTAGCCTCCAGTCATCCTCGTGTCTTGGCCTCTCAAAGTACTGGGATTACAGGTGTGAGTCACTGCACCCGGCCAAGGCCAAGAATTCTATTTTTTTTTTTTTTTTTTTTTTTTTTGAGACGGAGTCTCACTCTGTTGCTCAGGCTGGAGCGCAATGAATGGCATGATCTCAGCTCAATGTAAGCTCTGCCTCTTGTGTCCACGCCATTCTCCTACCTCAGCCTCCCTAGTAACTGGCACTACAGGCACCCAACACCACGCCCGGCTAATTTTTAGTATTTTCAGTAGAGACAGGGTTTTACCGTGTTAGCCAAGATGGTCTCGATCTCTTGACCTCGTGATCTGCCCACCTTTTACAGGCGCAGGCGTGAGCCACCGCACCCGGCCAAATTCTTTTTTTTTTTTTTTCGAGACAGAGTTTCACTCTTGTCACCCAGGCTGGAGTGCAGTGGTGCAGTCTCAGCTCACTACAACCTCCACCTCCCAGGTTCAAATGATTCTCTTGCCTCAGCCTCCTGAGTAGCTGCGATTACAGGCATGTGCAGCCACACCCAGCTAATTTTTGTATTTTTAGTAGAGACGGGGTTTCACCATGTGGGCCTGACCTCGGGTCTCAAACTCCTGACCTCAGGTCATGTGCCTGACTTGGCCTCCCAAAACGTTGGGATTATAGGCATGAGCCACCACGCCCGACCTTCTGGTTTTTGTTTTTGTTTTTGTTTTGAGACAGGGTCTCACTGTGTCTCAAAGTGCTGGAGTGCAGTGGCATGATATCGGCTCATTGCAACCTCCACCTCCAGGCTCAGGTGATCCTCATACCTTAGCCTCCCAAGTAACTGGGACTACAGGTGCATGCCACCATGCCCCAGTACAAGAATTTTTATATCGAAAGGAACACTGCCATTCATTTCAACTTGTTTCACACAATTGGATCATTAAAATATTTTCTTAATGTTTTTTTAAAAAACCAAAACCTACGATTCTCAAATTACTTTTTAATTGACGTATCTGAAAATTAATAAAATGCATATTCATGTGTTTTAGTCATAAGTGCTATTTAATTGAAGAAAAATGTAGCAGTTTGTTTTTATTTTGCTGTTTAACATAGCTGAATTACAGAAAAGTTCATTTCTAGTTGTACTTATTATTGTCCCGAAAAGACAAGTGGTACAGCCCGGTAGAAGGTAAATGATTGAATGTGGGACTGCCTTTTGTTTGTTTTTTCTGTCAAGAGTGCTATATTTGGGTTTGTTTTGTTTGAAAGTTGGGGGTGACCTAATAGAAAGCTATTTTGACACGTAACAGTTTATTCTGCAGATGTTATTCCTGGCTGTTTTGGTTCTTTGTAGTATTAATCTTCAGGGTCATAGTTAGGCAATATTTAATCTCAAGATATTTGTGAGTGTTCCACTGTCAAATGTGAAAGTTTGGAAGTTTTGCCATGTCATCTCCTGGACCAGAAATTCATGTTATTAAGATTAGAGTAAGTAATATTTTCAGCAATTCCTGGGAATTTACGTAATTGTAATGCTTTTTTAGGTGTGCCAAAAGGTTGAGGCCTCTGGGTTTGAATTCACCAGCTTGGTATTTTCAGTCTCCTTCCCACCACAACTATCTGTAAGAGAGGTAAGGTCATTTGCATGCATAAAACTGTATGTGAAGTGCATGCTAGGAATTTCTCAAAAAATGGGAATGTAGAAATATTCCTTACTGTATTATATTTTTTACATTTTGTGTACTTATTGAATGATTGAAGCAATTTATAGCTGCTTAATAAATACTTGTTGAGTGAGTGAATGACAAAAGGAATTAGTTTTGTTCCTAGGACAGCCATCTTTTTTAAAGTCCCTCAATCGGTTGCAGACATTCATTATTAGCTCCATGTGAGGCATGATGGTCAGAGAAAGACATTTGACTAGGTTTCCAGAGATCTTTTGAGGTGGATATGTGCATTTTAGAATAGTCCTAGAATAGGGTCATTTCAATTATGATGAGCCTTATTCCCTCTGGAGTAAAATATAAAAAGATGGCGTATCTTCCAGTCAATGATAAAAGGAAGAGAATTGGCCTCATTTTTTAAAACTGTTTTCTTTGTTAATTGAAAAAAAATTCATTGCTGTATTATTCTCATGTGTCAAAACTGACATGAAAACATAACGTTTTGCTAATATTGTTAAATGAAGTATAGTGAGAAACTTCTGTAATCTTAAATTACAACCATGGGTTCTAAGCATGTTCATTTGTATTTATGAGATGTCTTTTCCCTAAGAAACCTACAGTATCACCAGAACATTACATCATAAACCCTCACTTTCTTTGGGTGAGCGTGTTTATTAGCCCTAAATAAGCTGAAGATTGTTGAAGCTGGATAGAATGATAAAGAAGAGCCAGGAAGTGAAAAAGGGTAGGATGATTTTATATAGTATCTGTGTTGCTGACAAGATAACTGAGCAAATGGAAGAATAAAGATGATGATGATGATGATATACTGGGTTTATAAACACTTAGAGTAATTTTCTAGTCAATCATCAAAGCATTTCTCACTGATGTGTCATCTTCTGGTCCAATTTTGGTATAGAGAAACAGACTTCCAAAAGCTAAGTGACTCTCACTTTAGTGAGAGTTTTGAGAAACAAATAGGAATAAGAAGTATATTTTCTGAATGTGGTTATATATCTTACCATCAAACCCTTCCTCTCAAAGCTTATATTTATATATTTCTATAACCCTCAGAACCTGTGAATCAAAGTTTATATTTTTACATTAAGATTCATATTATCCATTTTATCACTTATTTGATGATTTTAACAATATTAGCTTAATGTTACTATTTATAAGGTATTTCTATTCCATATTAGACACAGAAGATACTGTTTTTGTTTGTGTTTTTGTGATGGAGTTTCACTCTTGTTGCCCAGGCTGGAGTACAATGGCACCCTCTTGGCTCACTGCAACCTCTGCCTCGCGGGTTCAAGCGATTCTCCTGCCTCAGGCTACCAAGTAGCTGGGCTTATGGGCATGTGTCACCACGCCGGCTAATTTTTTTTGTATTTTTAGTGGAGACAGGGTTTCTCCACGTTGATCAGGCTGGTCTCGGACACCTGACCTCAGATGATCCGCCCGCCTCAGCTTCCCAAAGTGCTGGGATTACAGGCATGAGCCACCGTGCTTGGCCAGAAGATACTGTTTTTAAAAATAGAATTATTCTGCTTAAACTCTACTTTTCATAACTGATTTTAACCAGAAAACTATTTAGTAGAAATATGTAACTGTTCTAATTATTGAAGAATTAATATGTTTCCATAGTTTAATGTGCTATGTTTTATTGTTTTATTTGTAGTAATGAGTATTTTTACCCATTCATTTCCTAAGAATAATAGTTCAAGTAATTACAGTTTTATATGCAGTATACTCTTTTCACATCCCAGGTTTCTTCAGAAAATTATGTTTGTGGTTCAGTTCGTTATTTTCTGTTATTGTTGTGTTACTTTCTTTTTTTTTTTTGAGACAGAGTCTCGCTCTGTCACCCAGACTAGAGTACAGTGGCACGATCTCAGCTCACTGCAAGCTCCGCCTTCTGGGTTCATGCCATTCTCCTGCCTCAGCCTCCCGAGTAGCTGGGACTACAGGCACCCGCCACCATGCCCGGCTAATTTTTTGTATTTTTTAGTAGAAATGGGGTTTCACCGTGTTAACCAGGATGGTCTTGATCGTCTGACCTCATGATCTGCTGGCCTCGGCCTCCCAGAGTGCTGGAATTACAGGCATGAGCCACTGCGCCTGGCCATATGTTACATTCTTTTATTGCTATCTTTTATTACTTCTTTGGAATTGAGATATGCTGTGCAAGCCAGGCTGTATATAAATTACATTTTAAACCACTTATTTGTTACGCATCTCAATTTGAACTAGTTACACATATCTTCAGAATATTCTGCATTTTGAATATAAATTCTGTGATTTCTCTAGTGCCATGTTCTACATTATGGCTTTCAACTTAGACCTTGTAAGTATCTCTACTTTAGAACTTCTTTGTCTGTTTGTAGAACAAACATCAATATACTATCCGTAAAATTGATGTATGTCAATTATCTCATAATTCACACTAGAATATACAATTGAGTCCATTTGAATGATTTGGTTTTTTCCACTTCTAAGAAGTAGATGATCACAGATCTATTTAAAGCAACAATATTTTATCAATATGGTGGTATTTATTATATTCCTGCTTACAAAAGAAATAAGGGGTGGCCTCAAGTAAAGTTTTTTTTTTTAAATTAAATGGCCAGTAGCTCATGCCTGTAATCTCAGCACTTTGGGAGGCTGAGGTGGGAGGATCTCTTGAGTTCAGTTCAAGACCAACCTGGGCAACACAGTGAGAGTCTGTCTCTACAAAAAAATTTAAAAATTAGCTAGGTGTGGTGATGCATATCTGTAGTCCCAGCTATCCTGGACGCCAAGGTGGGAGGCTTGCTTGGGCCTGGGGGGTTGAAGCTGCATTGAGCCATGATCACACCACTGTACTCCAGCCTGGGTGACAGAGTGAGGCCCTGTCTCAAAAAAAAAAATTAAGCAATAAAATTTGCATTAACGCATCTATATTCCTGGTTATACTAATCCTTTTCTGATGATAGCAATTTTTTTTTTTTTTTTTTTTTTTTTTTGAGACAAGGTCTTGTTGTGTCAGCCAGGCTGGAGTGCAGTGGTGCAGTCTTGGCCCACTGCAGCCTCCGCCTCCCGAGTTCAAGCCATTTTCCTGCCTCAGCCTCACAAGTAGCTGGGATTACAGGCATGTGCCACCACACCCAACTAATTTCTGTATGGGGTTTTACCATGTTGGTCAGGCTGGTCTCGACCTCCTGATCTCAAGTGATCCACTTGCCTCGGCCTCCCAAAGTTCTGGGATTACAGGTGTGAGCCACCTCTCCTGGCCCCAGTAGTTATTATTTTATCATCATTATAAAAGCATTAATTTAAAAGCTTAGAAAGAAAAGTCTGTATTTTTGTTCATAGTATAATAATCATTTTCCACTGAGTTCGGGAGAATATGGAAGCAGGATGCAGTATATGTCCGAAATGTGTTTTCTTAGAAGGAACTAGCTAATCAACCAGAACAGTTTTAAACTGAATACTACTAAAGAGGAGAAGCATAAGCAGAATTTGAGATTATAAGAGAGTAATAAATACCTTACGACTGTCATGGTGACTTTCTGGGTTTGGTCTTATCATTTGAATGTAATAATGGAAGGATAAATCCTTCTTATAAGGCTCAGATTTGTTAAGAGGAAAGATGTAATAGCGTGATATGGCAAGAAATTATGTACCTGCACTGAGATTTGAGATCCTGAGAGTGATCTCACGGTGGTACCTGTGGTCCCAGCTACTGGGGAGACTGAGGTGGGAGGATCACTGTAGCCCAGGAGGCGGAGGTTGCAGTGAGCTGCGATTGTACCACTGCACTCCCACTCCAGTCTGGAACAAAGTAAAATCCTATCTCAAAAAACAAAACACAACACAACAAAACAAAATAGGATAGATAGAGTAGTAGAAGTATACTGTATAATATCTGGCCAAGGGGAGGATTGATTAATTGCAGATACAAAATAGTCACAAAGGCTAATGAATACAGTGGTGTGAGGGACTCTCAGTGTCTGGGTACATGATGGAAATCATGTTTAACTAAAAATGTGTTATCTGACAACTTTTGGATTGGAACTGTTTCTTTTCCTAAAGTAGTGGTTTTCTAACATGCATGAGACTCACTTGGAGAGTTTCCCAGGCCCCATTCCCAGAGATGCTAATACAGTAGGTCAGGTGAGACTCATGAATTTGCATTTCTAACAAGCTCATAGGTAATGCTGATGCTATTACAACAACACTCTGAGAACCATTTTCCTAAAGGATGGTGGGGCAACTAATCTCGTCCTAAATGAAAAATTGGTAGCCTTTTAAATTTGTATTCCTGAAGGATGGGAAGAAGAGGCATAAGTAGAATATATCCTAAACTTCTGATAGGTGCATTTCAAACACTACAAAGAAAAGGCAAAGAAAAATGGCATAGGATTCTGTGCTGGAAGATAAATTAAAAGGATTGAGAGCATCAAACAAAGTGCAATTCACATTTTAATTCAAACCAAACTATCTCAATGAATAAAAAAAAGGTTGGGGGAAAATACATCTCAATGAAGAAGAAATAGGGATCTCTTTCTGTCTCTACCTCTGTTTTTACACAAAGGCTTGTATTTAGATATATTTATTTGACATTTTAGTTTGGCCTATGAACCCCTGTGTATCTGTCATCCAACTCCAACAGTTAAATTTTTTGCCAATCTGGGATCTATTTCAAAAGAAATACAGGAAAGGTCAAGTCAAATTAATGCAAATGAAAGAGGATGACTTGGCTGGGTGTTGGCTCATGCCTATAATCCCAGCACTTTGGGAGGCTGAGGTGGGTGGATCACCTGAGGTCAGGAGTTCGAGACCAGCCTAGCCAACATAGTAAAATTCCGTCTCTACTAAAAATACAAAAATTAGCCGGGTGTGGTGGTGTGCACCTGTAGTCCCAGCTATTCAGGAGGCTGAGGCAGGATAATCATTTGAACCTGGGAGGCAGAGGCTGCAGTGAG